GGGGGGCGGGCGTGGCCCAGCTGCCAGTCAGCCTGTGTGCTGTGGGAGTCGGGAATGTTTACTCTGCAGGGTGGAGGCAAGTCGGGCTGCTAGGAGAGTCAGGGGCTCCACTGGGACCCCCAGGCAGCCCAGGATCTGCCCCCACTACCTGGAGATGGTCCCACTGTGTATTACACAGCACCCCTTGACCCCAGGACACGCCAGCCTCCGTTGGTTCTTGCACCCGGGCCTGCACCTGTGTGGCGAGCCCAGGACCAAGGCCAATGCTGACAAGGCATCGGCCATGCAGGGCCCTCACCTAGAGGCAGCTGGGCTGGGTCCCTGGGGCTGCCCCAAGCTGAGGCATACCCACCCCAGCCTAGGCCGAGGACAGCCTAATGTCAGGCCATCTGGAGACCTGGTGGCCCGGCTGGGGCCTTGCCACATCCCAGACCTGCTTTCCAAGGAAAACGTGTCTGTTGCCTCATCCACAGCCCTGCACTGCTTCTGTGTGCTGCAGACTGCTCTAGGCACCGTGACCTTAACCGTGACAAAGGCACTGTCCCCCAGAGTTCGTTACGGAGAGAGAAGCTCCCTCGCTTTCCTCCCCAGGAGCCTCCAGGTCTCGTCTGTCCACGGCAGCGTTGCCAGCGTCTCTCCGGGCTTTTCTCCCGCTCTGCTTTCTTGCTGTCTTTGCTCGGGCAGTGCCCACGGAGGCCCACCTGCTCACCCACCCTCTCCATCCACTTCCTGAGCCCAGAGCCCAAGTACCTCCTCCAGGAAGCCCCTGCATCCCAGTGGGAGCCCGCATGGCTGGGACCGTGTCTGCCCTGTCTCCCTCTGTCCAGGGTCCAGGGTGCTGGAGGGCAATGAGTCTCATGAACAGCCATCCCTACGCGCGGAGATGCTCCAGGTGGGCAAAGACTCCCTCCCGGGACAGAAGTACCCATGGAAAGACTGAACCACAACTCGGGCTTTGTTATCCCCATGGGCCTTTTTCTCCAGAGGCCGAGGTGGCCTCTCCTTCCTAGGAAGGGTTAGTTGTACATTGTGCCCACGTCACACCGGTGAGCATCGAGATGGCTCTGATAGCGTGAGACCATATCAGAAAGCTTTGTGCAGTCTTGATCCTCTGAGAGGAGACGCTTTCCTCTGTGGATGGGGGGACATTAGAAATAGAGACTGTTTGCAACGAACCATGGAGTGCACACAATGTCAGGCACCTCTGTAGGTGCTCCCAGTTTCCACAGCAAGGAGTCGAAAGGCGGCTGCCAGGGCCAGGGTGAGAGGAAATGGGAGCTGTTGTCAGTGAGAATAAAGGTTCAGCCATGCAGGACGAACGAGTTCCAGAGACCCTCCGACAGCTCAGCATCCCAGTCAGAGACCTTGTTGTGTACTTACAAGCTTAAGAGGATAGGTCTCAAAAAAAAAAAAAAAAAAAAAAAAAAAAAAAAGAAAAAGAA